TCATCATACACCACTCATCATACACCACTCATCATACACCACTCATCATACACTACTCATCATACACCACTCATCATACACGACTGATCACACACCACTCATCATACACCAGTCATCATACACCGCTCATACACCAGCTCTGGTTTCAACAGCTCAAGCTCCAGGCAACTCCAGCTCCAGGTGCACATTTCGTGGCAGGTGCAGCACTTTGTGAACCTCCATGTGCAGATTTCGTGGCAGGTGCAGCACTTTGTGAACCTCCATGTGCAGATGTCGTGGTAGGTGCAGCACTTTGTGAACCTCCATGTGCAGATTTCGTGGCAGGCACAGCACTTTGTGCACCTCCATGTGCAGATTTCGTGGCAGGCGCAATACAAAATGCGTTGTGGAGAGATAGCGAAGGCACGAAATGCTGTATTTTTCAATGGAACCGGTGGCTCCGAAGCTGGCAAGTCAAGGTCTGCGGAACGACGGTTGCGAGACGGTCTCGGGTCATGCTCGGATCATGCTCGGGCGTGGTCGGAATCGTCCGTCCATTGGGATTAGAGTTTTCACTTGTTTCTTGAAGTGCAGATTTCGTGGCAGGTGCAGCACTTTGTGAACCTGCATGTGCAGATTTCGTTGCAGGTGCAGCACTTTGTGTACCTCCACGTGCAGATTTCCTGGCAGGCACAGCACTTTGTGAACCTCCATGTGCAGATTTCGTGGCAGGTGCAGCACTTTGTGAACCTCCATGTGCAGATTTCGTGGCAGGTGCAGGACTTTGTGAACCTCCATGCGCAGATTTCCTGGCAGGCACAGCACTTTGTGCACCTCCATGTGCAGATTTCGTGGCAGGCGCAGGACTTTGTGAACCTCCATGTGCAGATTTCGCGGCAGGCACAGCACTTTGTGCACCTCCATGTGCAGATTTCGTCGCAGGTGCAGCACTTTGTGAACCTCCATGTGCAGATTTCGTGGCAGGCACAACACTTTGTGAACCTCCATGTGCAGATTTCGTGGCAGGCACAGCATCTGTAGAGCTGGAAGCTGAGAACTGGCGACATTGTAGTACAACTTTAGTACGCGGAGTATCTGGGAGCTGGACGATGAGAACTGGCGACTTTGTGGTACAACTTTAGTACGCGGAGTATCTGTGGAGCTGGAAGCTGAGAACTGGCGACTTTCTAGTACAACTTTAGTACGCGGAGCAATCTGTGCAGCTAGAAGCTGAGAACTGGCGACTTTGTAGTGCAACTTTAGTACGCGGAGTATCTGTGGAGCTGGAAGCTGAGAACTGGCGACTTTCTAGTACAACTC